ACTGTCTCCCATGGTTTTTTGTTGTTGTTGTTCTTTTCTATAGACCAACAGCCAAAGTAAGAAAGGTCTTTTCTTTTTAGTTCATCAGATTTACTCAAATATCTAACCATTCTTTTGTTTGTTTTTGCTTTTTAATTCCTCCCTTCAACATATACTGAGTACTCGAGAGCAAAGAAGGCACTGTGCCTTTATTTGCTATGCATATGAGGTGAGGCACCAGATCTTTCCAACCACCCAATGGCCAAGGGTGGCTCTGTGTTACTCTCATTATCTCTGTCTGACAGTATTCATGGTGATATTCAGGCTGTGGTTTATGTGCATAAAACTATTTTGATAATTTCCCATTAAATTAGGTGGTAGAGAAACAGAAAAACTTGGAAGACAGAACAGGTGGTTTTGCAAACAAATAGAGTAATTGGAAAGGCATCAGGTAACCAACCTGAAAGCGCAGGCACTGCACCAACAGGTGAGCCTGCCATGGTTGCCAGGTGGGCAGTGGGCCCCCAACCTGGAAAGAATCTGTACTCTCAGAGCCAGTCAAAATCACTTCCAATTGGTGTATCCCAAAACTTTTTTTTGGAAATAAAAAAAAAAGAAGTCTGTAGCTGGGAAATAGAAGAAATTTAGTAAGACAGAGGAAAGAAAGAACTTTTACTCCTTAAACCCACAGCCAAGCTCTAAGAAAAGGATTTTAAACTATGAGATGAAATGGTATAGGGAGATAAGGATTAAACAGAAAATTTACAATGCATAGTGATAAGTTTCTCAAATATGGTGGCTGTTCTGAGCTCCTTCCAGTTTGTTACCAGGATAGACGAGTCCCATTGTCCTATTCAGTCCTTCAGTGCTGCTAGCCTGATGGAGGAATATATCCAGTTCTAAACATAAAGTAATTAAGTTCTTAATAATCTAAGTCTATATCTATGTGTGTGTGTGGTTTTTTTGTGTGTATGTGTCTATGTGCAACATATGGATACACACATCATTTTATGAACAAAATAGACTTCCAAGTTCCTGGGCATTATAGGTCCTCCAGCACTATGGCAGTTAATAATTGTGCTAATTATGCTAATGAAAATGCTAATTACTTGAATGAAAAGTCATGTTTTTTCCTTTAGAACTGTGGTCCTCAGAAGTCAAGGATGATGTATGGTAACAATCTATGGGGATTCTCACTGTGAATATTGGAAATAACCTGCCTGCATGCTTCAAAACATTGATTATCCAACATTTTAAAAAGAGAATAAAAAAATATAGCTGTTTGCATGTATGAGTACATAATTCTCACAGAACAAAACTGCTTTTGTTTTTTAGTCATAAGGGTTTAGTAATTCAGTGGTGTTAAGACAGGTTGAAATGGAAATGCATCTCATTCTTTAAGAATGAAAATTGGAATAGAATAGTAAAAACTGGCAAAACATAAAAGGCCAGTGATTTCAGAGGTGTCCTGGAGATTGTACATACAAGTGGATCAATGCAAATTAAAACAGATACAATAATTTATTAGAAAGATCTGATGCTTTACTTTAAAACACGGACTGCATTGTAGGTTATAATAAATGACATTCTACTTTCCCCTTTTAGTGCTTACATCTTTGTCTTGGAGCTTACATCCCAGTTATGAAAAATTCAAATTAATCTGTCAGGCAGAAAGCATGACATCAGGGCAAAAAAGTAAGGGTCAGTGAATTGGAATAAACACATTTACTATAAGTATAAAAAAAGCTCCCATACTTCTGAAAGGGTTTCAAGGTATCATTTAGATTGGAGAGTCACCAGATTAAAAAAGGGTCCTTAGGTCCATAACTGTGTCCTGTAGATCCTTAATTCTATAACAGATGCAAGTAGTTGCTGTGTTTTTGGTGGATCTGTGCCATCACTGCCAGATATGGATAGAGGAAGTTCCAACAAATGGAAAGCAAAGCAGACCAACACATGATGCTCTTTTACATGTAACTATTCACCTTTTATTTCTTTTATTAAGACCAAGTTGGATTTTAAACATTTTATAAGGACTTCTCATTGCTTTTCTACCCTTTTGGGAGTTTGTATATTATAGAAAGTATATGAAGATAACTTTAATCCAAAAGCTTACATTTCATTTGGAAAGAAACACATTTACACATTTACATGGTATCCAGACTACTTTATCCAACTATATTTTGCATATCCTTTCCGATTTTTTTATTGGTTAACTTTTTCCATGCTTCACAGTCAGTATTTATCTTTCTGGTGTTTGCAGAGCTCCCTCTCTATTTTCTCCCTCACCAACTAGGATCTTCCAACTTTTGGTGTCCTTTCAGTCAAAGACAACTCACATAGCTTATCTTCTTTCTTCCTATTCATTTGGATCACCTTTTCCCATAAACTTGCAAATAAACTTATAACAAACCCTAATTACAGATTTATTTCTGGAAAAGATTTCTAGTTGGTATAAGTATTTTAGATCCTCTTTTCCAGGAGCCTTGAGAAATAAAGTTAAAGGCCATTCCTTTAATTTTACATGTAGAGAATATAGTTTTTATAGCATTTGAAAAACAAATCTATAGACTATGGATAATATAAATTTTAGAAGGAATCTGACTAAAAGGACATGCAACGTTCAGTATTAGAAGGGTCTTTAAATAACTGTCTTATCTAAAGCAAGGTTCTATGGCTTGACTCTAATGCCTATTAGGAAGCCCTTGTTTAGTTGATTTTCTTTATACTTGCAGGTGTGGGAGAGGAAAAAAGAAAACTGGAAATGTAAAACAACCCTTCAGGCCACTTTTAAGACTATCTTTTGCACTTGAGATGACATCTCCACCTAGTAATGTTTTAAGCAACTCCTAAAAAATGTTTAGTTGAACTTTTCAGAATAGGCTCAACACAATTTCAGCTAGTTTAAACGTGTATTTAAATTAATTACTGGGAATCAAGAAGGCACCAACATGATAATTAAGGATGTGGGAGATTTTTTTGGAGAGAAATAAATTAGCAGGCACACACACACACAAAAATAAAATAAGTGATCATCTGTGTAGTTCTTGAAGTGGAGAAATGACATAATAAAAAAAAGCTAAGTAGGTATATTCTATCAGTCTAGGTTTTCTAGCTGCTTTATTTTGAATACATGCAGCCTATATAAATGAGATGGTATTCACTAACTGAAGGGCAGAGCATTTAGGAAAGAGTATTTGTTGAACTTCATGTGTGCATTGGGTATTATGTCACTTGTTTCTGGACACATTTTGAGACTGTATATACAGTGGTTATGTCTGCAGGTTTTAAAGCCCAGTGGGCTACTGACTTACTGTATGACCTTGAGCAAACTACTTAAGCTCTCTGTGTCTTAGTTTCCCCATCAGTAATATGGGGTACGTGGGGCTAGCACCTTTGCCCAAGTTACCGTGAGAATTAGGTGAATATGTGAAAATCCCTTAGAGTTGTTTCTGGCACATAATAAATGCTCATTATTTGTTAACATTATTTATTATTTATTCCTCACAATCCCATTTTTTTTTTTAAAGATTTTTATTGGGGAATTGGGGTATGGGGAACAGACAAGTTGCTGTCCTTTCGTTCTTCAGTCTAGCTGTGGAGGGTGTTGCTTCACTGGCCCAAGTTGGCACCATCATTGCGCTCTTCCCTGGCAAGGCAGATCATTCGCCAGCTTATGGACCGCCACTCCGGCAGTGGCCACTCATGCTGGCTGCTGGCTACACACAGTAGCCCATGGCAACCCACTGCCACAGGGGCTGCAGCCTACACCATGGCCAGCAACTCATGGCAGCCCAGCTCCAGGTTGAGCTGTTGTTCAGCATCTTAGCTGTAGAGGGCAGTGTCACTGGCCCTCATATGTGGGATCCGAACCGGGGCCCTCTGCATCCCAAGCCAGCTCTTAACCAACGTACCACTCAGCCGGTCCACAATCCCCATTTTTAACTGGGGCTCCAAAAAGCTATTTGCTCAAGGTGTCACAGCCACAAAATAGTAACATAGGGATTTGAGCTCACATCTGTCTGAATCCAAAGTCTTTGCTAATTCCACACTGTTGGAGTATGTTAAGTAAAAAGACATTCATTGGAGCCTCGAACAAATGGAGACAACAAACAAAACTGAAATCACTAGTTATTGTGGAAGAAAGCATCTTGAGGTTGGAAATGAGGGGACCTGTGTTACTGTGTAACCCAGTGGATTATTCTGGGCACCAAATTCTTCATTTGTTAAAGGAGAAGCTACATGATCTAGATCTTTCCAGTTATAATATTCTGTAAGCGTATGAGTCCACAGAGTTGGTTCTTAAAGCCATCTTTTCCTTTCTTTTGTCTGTCATTTAATCCTGAGCTCTGCCTTTAAATGAAGCAACATTCTAGGTATGTGTGCAGAATGCCACACAGGTGCATCCGTGAAAGTTAGTTTTACACAAGTAGAGAATCGGCTTCTTCAGCTCCGCCATCGCCAGATCTCTCCCCAAACTGATTAGAGCTCGAGTCACGTCTATTATCGGTCTCCTGATTCAGCTCACTCTAGGCATTTATACCATTACCTTTATACATCTAGTACTATATGCAAATCGGCCTTTTAGCCTTATTCCAAGTCTTTATTTTAAAAAGTCCATAGTTACTACAGATGGCTGTTTTGGGTCAAATTAGCAGTCTAAGACCTGAAAATTCCATCAAACGAGAACAAGAACCTTTACAACGCATCCCTATTTTCCGTCAAGTAAGAGAAGTACGGGTTAAAACCACAGCTCTTGCTTTTAAACGCCTTTACAAAACACGAGCGATCATCTTTCGGTATCACTCCTTGCCCACCCGTCCCAAAACTCGTTTTCCTTGCCACAATTGGCTAAAGTGCCTGTCACTCGAAGCACTTTTACACCCTTCCCCAAGAGCCTTCTTCGGATTTAAATCGTGGTCCCGCCCACCCCCCTTGCACTGATTGGTCAAGGCGCCACTCGTGTGGGGTACTTAGGCCACCGTGCGCAGCGCCCGCTGGGAGCCGAGCCTAGGCGCGAGGGTAGCGCGAGGTCTTTCCAGTGGAGCTCCACTCCCCACTACGGCGACCCCTCCCCCCGACCCCGCTCTGTCTGACCGGTCCCCGAAACGGTGGCGGCGGTTTGTGGTCGTTGGTCCCAGAGATTTAGGACCAACATCTGAAGACCCGAAGGGGTGAGGAAGGGATGGGGACAGCGGGGTCGCTGCCAAACCGCTGGTAACGGCTGTCTCCCGGCTGCAAGAAGCCTTACCCTGCTCACTCTCACACGTCAAATACGTAGTGAGGACCCAGGCCCCGTGGGAGGTGTCTGCGGTGGGCGCCCTTCTGGTTCCCCTGCCCCGTCGAGCTGCGGGAGGGCCAGTGTCCTAGGCGCGGCTTCCCACCCCCAGGTACAGTTCTTGGCCGGACAGCTCCTGCGGTCAGCCCTCGCGCCGCGCGGTCCCGGCCGTCTGGACCCCGGTACCGCGTCTCGTCGGGGCGGTCGGCGGCTCCCTCCGCCCCGCGGCGCCCTGACCTCGCTCCCCCTTATTTCCGCCCCCCTCCCCGGCGCTTTCCGGCCGCTCCCCACCTGCTGCCCTCCATGTTATTCTAACCCTCTCCTCGGTCTACCACCGCAGGTCAGACCACCCTCCTGCACGCTGGCTGGACGGCCGTTGTCGCGCCCGCTCGCTCCTTCTCGAGGCTTTGGGACGACGCCCGGAGCCTCCCGACTGCTGGGTGAGATTTGGCGACCACGTCCCGAGTCTCACTGAGTTCTAGCTGGGGATCTGCCTGGAACTTTCCTCCGCCTTTGACTCTCTTCCTGTTTCTACCCCTAGTGCTGTCTTGTGTGTTGGATTTTGAACCTTGGAAGGCGGAGGGTCTGCGGGCAAGATCGCTGACCCCGTCTCACCCGTGACACGCGCGGCTGGCAGCCATGGACGGTAAAACAGGCAGTGCTACTCCTATCTTTATTTGCTAACATAAAACAGTTTTAATGACTAATCTGTACCGTCTTTTCTTTGGGTTAATAGATAAGACCGTCGAACCTGGAGCCTGGAGACCTCGGATTTAATCCTGGCTTTGAAACTAATGCCCTTCGATTTATTTGGGCAGCAGTTATATGAATTTAGTTGAGCTCATGTTGAAGCCTCTTTAAGCTCTCTCTTACATCCTTGATAAATACTCTATAGCCTTTATACTATATGGTGATTCTATTAAGGCTAAAACCACAGAGGGAATACCAACAGGAGCTTTTTAAGACTTGGCTTCTCTTACAGATTTGTCCCACTTTGTGTTTGAGGATGGCGACAGAATCAGGAAGCAGGATATGTTGCCCGGATAAAACCGACATATAAATAACTTTCGCATGTTGGTAGAATTTTGCTTATTTAAATAAGGGGAAGATATTGACAAACTTCCATTTGGAGACTTTCAGAATTAAAACTCCTTATGGGCTCGAATGATAGATTCCTTTCCAGGGTACACATTTAAAATATTCTATTTTAAAATTAGTTTGTGTGCAACTGTGTACCATTATAGATACGAAAATGAGTATTGGTGCTGCAATTACTAAATTTTAGCATTGCTAAATATTTTTGCTTAAGGCACTGCTTTAACTGCTAATTTCACTTAAGATTAAGGGTGGAATATTGGATTTGAATATTACTGCCAAAGATTATAATACATAATGAACACTCGAAATATAAACATACATTACTGAATATATCATGAGGTAAGACTTATTCGTAAGAATATGCCTGATATATGAACCAAAATTAAGCCTCATATTTTTAATGGTGTCATTTTTGTTATTAGAAAACTTAGACATGTCGGTTTAAGGAGGGTTTGTGAATACAAATCAAATAATTTATGTAAAATCTGGCCTGATTTTCATATTAATGCTCGGTGGTGTTTCCCACTTTATTTTACTGCTTGATGGTTGATGAAGCAAGAAAAAGGGAAGAAAATGTGATCTCTGTGTTCAAATTTTAACAGATTTCAGATGACAGATTACAGATTATGTAAGGAATAGTAGTGTGTACTATTTTGTAGTAGAACTTTGGTTCTATTGTGGATATCTTTATCTTAAGTTTAAAGAGCATTGCACTTTTGTGTTCAAAGCAATATTTTTAAAAATTAGTATTAGTTACAATTATTTTTAAAAATAGTTAAATTTTTAAATCTTTCTAAATTTAAACCTGCCCCCTCCTCCCACCCCCATACACAATATTACTAGAGGATGTAAACACCTAGTACTAAAACTTTTTATACATTATATATTTAACTTAGAGGAATAAAAAAGTGCTCTCATTCTTTAATAAAAATTTAAAATGGAATTGAACTGACCCATCTATACCCTTTTATTTTGAAATGTTAGACTTAAATATCTATATTTTTTACTAATCCTTTTCATTTTCCAACCATGTTGCTATAGTACAGAGTGTCACTAAAATGAGTTGATACTAAAAAAATTTACATGACCTATCAACCATGGTCTTAAGTGTACCATACTCAATAACAACTGAACTTACAAATCTGGAATTTAATAACATGGAATTTAAAGAATGCCATAAAGATCTAATGTGCTTTCCATAAAAGTGTTTTGATACCTTAAAAACTAATTTTTTGTTCACAATTGCATTCAGTTTTTAAAAATCATAGTAAAACTTATAAAATGTTCATTTCCACAGCTTCATAAATTTTTATAGTAGTTCAGAAGATGAAGTTTCAATTTAAGTAGTTTAAACGAATGGACACAAATTCCATCAGATAAATGATTAATTTTCATTTATATTTTGCTAGAATTGTACTTGTCTTTTTTCATTATAATATAGTTTATATTTTGAATGGCAGTACAAATTTGAAAATTTACATTTTTGTTAATGTAAAGTGCTTAAAATTAATGAAGATATAGTTAGCATTTAAAGCTAAAGGCTTGCTTGAAATTGCTACTTGAATATCTATCCTGTGATTAGCTATGCTATCTTGGCTTTCTGTGTTATAGCTTAGTAGGTTTTTTTTTACCCTCCTTCTTTACTTTTGAAACTGAGCTGGAGAGGAATCTGAAAGTCTGAAGTTTAGGAAAAAAAGATTTATCTGTGAAAGCTAGGGTTTATAGATGGTAGGTACAACTTTTAATCTACCCTTCCCACTTTTTATTCCATAAACAATTTATGTCATTCTGTTGCTCAGGGTCCTCCTTCCCTTACTCAGATTCCTTGGGTCATCAGCAGGGTAAGGAAAAAAGTTTGTAGGACACTTTGGAATGTGAATCCACAGCTGAAAGTGTCAGAGAATTGAGACTGGAAGCTTCAGTTGGTATGTTGGCTTTGTCATAAATGTATATGATTGCTGTGCTTCCTTGGAATTATAATTCTCAGATTGATTTCTGAAATATTTTAGAATGAGTATAAAAATATCCTATGCCTCTTTTACACTTGATTTATAATTCTCCCGTTGAGGTTCTTGAATTCTGGCTCTTTTAGAAATGTATTTTGGTTCAATTAAATATGGGGTTAAAGTTGATATTTTTAAAACTTTCTTAATTGTAAGTTAAATAAGCGTATGTGTTACTTTTCACTTTTGAGGTTTTAAGATAAGAATATACTCTTCTAAAGAGATAATGAGATTTGTGACTCTCCAGTGTGTTTTATACTTCTGTGATTTCAAGTTTTTGTAATATTTTAATTGAGATTTCTTGATAGTAAGTCTAGCATAAGTTTCTGATCATTCTCTAGTAAAAGAATCTTTAATGTGGGGACTGACCTATTGTTTCAACATGAAACCCTAGTTAATATCTTTAAAAATATAACTTTTAGAGACATGGATTAACGCAAAATACATGTTTGTAAGGTAGTTGCAGGACTGGGTTGGGTAGGTGGGAATCTCTGTTCTTATGTGACCCAGAGTTTAAACCATAGAAAGTCTGCAGGTGTTTTGTTTGGTCTGTACAGTTTTTTTCAATTTAATTTTAATTAAAATTGAATTAATTTTTAGTTTAGGTTTTTTTCTTGTGTGTGTGACTATGCAATATTCTGCTTTCAAGGGATCATTTAACCTTTTGTAGAGATAATGCTCTCTAAGATGCAGGCTTAAAACATGGAAGGCACCTAACTGGATGATGATGATATGAATATTTCCTGGGTTGTAAGTCCTTTTAAGGCAGAGTCTATGGTTTAACTCTTTTTGTACAGAATTTTGGAAGGGATGTTAAATGCCACATGGTCCAGCAATGCACCCTTTGCTTGACTCGCCACAGCATGTCCAGCCCGTGTTTGAATACCTCTGTTGTTGGAGAGTGAGCCCTTCTCTGCGCAAAGTCCAGGTCCTTGGCAACTAGAGCAAAGAATTGAAGGAGATGCTGAAGTACTGAAAAAGTAGTTTATTGGAAGAGATAGTACATTTCAAAGGAGTAGAAGTAGGCCCGAGCAGTAGAGAACGGCTCAAGGGACCATTATTAGAAGAGAAATTACATTCCCAATTATTTGGAGTGGGCCACACGCAAAGGCAAGGCTCAAAAAGGGAGGAAGGGGTCAGAGAAAAGGAAGAAGCAGTCAAAAAGGGGAAAGGCGGACTTCCCAGGACTTGGAGTTTTTATCCCTTTTTCTCTAGAATGGGCTGTTCGCCTCTGGATGTAGGAACACTTGATTGGCACCCGTAATTGACAACAGGATATTATCTCATCTCTTTAGACTGCGCATGTTCCTCCCCAGAATTCAGTCTGTTATAATGATACTAATAAACTTCTGGGCATATGTATGATATTAATAAGGCCCTGGTGAAACAAAGGTCGTTATGGCCTTTACTGAGCAGGTGTGAGTAACTGGTCTAATCCAGTCAGGTGTTTTGTACCCATTTGTTTTAGGGGTGGATAGTTAACAATGAAAAGAAGTTTTGGATAGAGAGGGGAGGTCACCTGGGCAGTCACATCCTGTGGGATGTGCAGGCATGCAGAGACCCAATGCCTGCCTCTAACTGCCTGCTTTGTTTTCCCCTTGAGAGACGTGATCCCCATAAAATCTCTGTGGGAAGCTGAGGGACAGGATGTCTCTTCTGTATCTGCTTCCTGCTGGGCAGGGGCGTAGAGCTGTCCCTGCCTATTGGGGGTTCACAGAACTCTCTCCCTAGCTGATCTCAGATGAGAGGAAGGGGTCTCGAGCTCCGCCTGGAAGACTGTTATGGCTTCTTTGGTTGTGACTGGCAACCTTGTTGGGGTGTCATCTGCATCCCAAAGTCCCTGAATGAGGGAAAATAGATTTTAATTAATGAATCTGTTAGCTCTTATGAAACCTGTGGCCATTCAGCCTGTCACTCAGGCTGCTTCAGTTGTCTTGGCCCAGAATGGGTTTGGAAAGAATCATTAGGCTTACTGGCCTGGGGGATATTAGGAAGTCACAGGCTTTCAAGTAGTTATCTGAAGCAGGGGTGGGAGACTTCTATTGTTGAGGATTCAGAAACTGATTTACAAGACAATCAAGAAGCAGGGGGGTAGGAGAATTCTAGGATTCAGGCTAGGAGCAATCTTTAGCCTAGGATTCACAAACTGGTTAGAAAAGTAATCAAAGCCAAGCGCTAAGGAACGAAGGAACTAGGGAGGAGACTTAACATTTCTATGGGAAAGAAAACTTAAAAGTCTTTCAGTTGGCGGGGGGCACAACACCTCCATTTGGCAGGAAGCTACCTTCTGTGGCAGCCCTTTCCAACCTTGTGCAGTTCTCTGCTTAGGAGAAAGTTACATTGAAGCATACTCTATCCCAGGCACTATTTACTTGTGGTTGTACTATCTGTTAGGGTCATTAGTACAACTGAAAATTCAGTAACATGACTTGGACATAGGAAACAGTCAATAATTGTCTATAAAATTGAACTTAATTCTGAGAATTTGACTCATTAAATTTTTGAATTGGGATGTAGAACCCTGGACTAAGTTTGAACATGATTTTTCACCAGATTACTTTTTAGTCATCTTACTTTTATGCCTGAGTGTTTGAACATGTAATGGAAATGACACTTTTGTAGCTGTGCAGTGTTAGCATGTAAATGCACCTCTTTAACTGTCAAATATTAAAATTAAGATGTTTCACATAAAAAATTGAAGATTTCTGACTTCTCTTAGAAAATTTGGCATAACTTGGCAAACTGGGTTTCCCCATGGTAATCGTCTGCTAAACTTACGTAGCCACTGCCCATTTCAGATGGTACATGAACTTTCTAGTTAAGTATAGTCCATAGCACATCTTAGAGTTTTGTACTTGGCCTTTCCACTCATTTAATATTTCTTGTCAGGGCCTTGTAGGCATGTGAATTGGTTATTTCATGGATACTCAAAGTTAACATGTCAAAAAGTGAACTCTGTTCTTACTCCTAAAATCTGTTCTATCTCAGCCTTCCTCACCTTTCTGCTTCTCATTGCTAAGAGCAAAACTTTGGTGTTACCCTTGACTTATTCTGTTTATCTCACAATCCATATCCAATCTGTCAGAAAATTCTATTGGGTATACCTTCAAGGTATATCTCTTATCAGAGACTACTACTCTTCCTCCACCTCAACATCTCTGGTCCATGCCACCATCATCTCTCACCTGAATTTTAGTCATGGTCTTTCTTCTGATTGATCTTTCTGCTTCCACCTTTTGCTCTTCTACTGGCTTCTCAATACAATAGCCAGATGATCCTTTTAAAATGAAAGATCATATTACTCCTTTACTCAGAATCTACTGTGGCTCATTTAACTCAGAATAAAAGCTGAAGCCCTTCATTACCTGACTTACAAGGTCTGTGTGATGTGGCAGCTTTTTATCTCTCTGACTTTATCTTTTACTGTACTCTCCCTGGTTTCACCACACTGGTCCCCTTGCTATACCTTATATGTGCCTTGCACACCTCCATTTTGGGGCCTTCTGTTCTTGTTTTTCCATTTGTTAGAATGCTCTTCCCAAATAACTGCATAGCTAGGTTCCCTAATTCTTTGCTCAAATGTTACCTTCTCCGTGGGGCCTATACTGGTTATCCTGTTTAAAATTGCACCCTCTCTTCTCCTGCCAACTTCCCCCCTACCCCACGTGCTCCATCCCTGTTCTTTCCCCCCCTACTATTATCTTTTTAACACATTATTTACTTAACTTTTATTATCATATGCTTTCCCCACTGGAGTATAAGCTATTATACAAGGCAGGGAGGATTTATGGTTTTTTATTTACTGAGGTATCCCAGGTATAAGGAATAGTTCCTGGCCCATAGTTGGTGCTTAATAAACATTTGTTGAACAAATGAATGAATTTGAGTTTTAAGTCCCTGGGCTGCAGTTTGTGTTTTCCTTACTGTTTCATCAATTAGTTTATTAGATAATATTCTATCAGAACTTAATATTATATATTGTTTCATTATATATTAGATAGTAAATATATTTATAATGCTTATATGCAAAATACTATTTTAAGCCCTTTATTATTATTATTTTTTAATTATTTAAAAATGTTTTTAAATTAAAATTATTAGGGTAACAATGGTTAGTAAAAGTACATAGGTTTCAGGTGTACAGTTCTATAATACATCATCTGTATATCACATTGTGTGCTCACCATCCATAGTCAGTTCTCCTTCCATCACCATATATTTGACCCTCTCTGTCCTGTTCTACCACCCCTGTGTCCCCTTATCCTCTGGTAACCACTAAACTAGTGTTTGTGTCATGAGTTTTTGTTCATTTTTTTGTCTTGTTCCTTTGTTGCTTTCAATTTTACATCCCACATATTAGTGAAGTCATATGGTTCTTGATTTTTTCTGTCTGACTTATTTTACTTAGCTTAATAATCTCAAGTTCCATCCATGTTGTTGCAAATGACAGTATTTCATCTTTTCTTATGGCAGAGTAGTATTCCATTGTGTATATACAGAGGGTGCCAAAAAAAATGTATATACATTTTGTTGTTGTTGTTAAAGTTGTAGAAAAGGACAGTTTATTAGAAGAAAACATACATTTCAAAAAAAGCAGAAGCGGGCCCAAGCAGTAGAGAATGGCTCAAGGGCCATTATTGGAAGAGAAAGTACACTCCAAAGAGTTTGGAGCGGGCCTAGCAACAGGAGCTCAAAAGGCCCACATTTTAAGAAAGGGAAAAACTATTAAAATTGTAATACTCAATATTTACCAATAACAAAAGATGAATACAAGTCATGTATATACATTTTTTTTTGCACCCCCAGTATACCACATCATCTTTATCCAGTCATTTATTGAAGGACACTTTGGTTGTTTCCATGTCTTGGCCACAGTAAATAAAGCTGCAGTAAACATTGGAGTACATATATCTTTATGGATAAATGTTTTCAGATTTTCTGGGTAGATACCCAGGAGAGGGATTGCTGGGTCATATGGTAATTCTATTCTTAATTTTTTGAGGAACCTCCATACTGCCTTCCATAGCGGCTGCACCAATCTGCATTCCCGCCAGCAGTGTATGAGGGTTCCTTTTTCTCCACAGCCTCTCCAACACTTGTTATTATTTGTCTTGTTGATTGATGATAGGCATTCTCACAGGTGTGAGTTGATATCTCACTGTGGTTTTGATTTGCATTTCCCTAATAGCTATTGAAGTTGAGCATTTTTTCATATATCTGTTGGCTGTTTGTATATCTTGTTGGGAAAAGTTTCTGTTCATGTCCTCTGACCATTTTTTAATTGGATTGTTTGTCTTCTTTTGTTGAGTTGTATGATTTCCTTATATATTTTGGATATTAACCACTTTTAGCTTTTACTTCTCTTGCCTTTGAGGTCAAATTCATAAAATCCTCTTTGAATCCAGGGTCTATAAGTTTAGTGCCTATGCTTACTTTTATGCAGTTTATTGTTTCAGGTCTTATGTTTAGGTCTTTGATACATTTTGAGCTAATTTTGGTATATGGTGACAGATAACAGTCTTAATTTCATTTTATTTTATTTTTTTGCACGTGGCTTTCCAATTTTCCCTCATTTATTAAAGAGGCTTTATTTTCTCCATTGCATGTTTTTGGCTCCTTAGTTGAAAATTATCTGTTCATATTTATATGGGTTTATTTCTGGGTTTTTAATTCTGTTCCATTGGTCTGTGTGTCTGTTTTTCTGCCAGTACCATGCTGTTTTGATTATTGTTGCTCTGTAGTACAAGCTGAAGTCAGGGAGTGTGATACTTCCAGCCTTATTCTTTTTTCTTAGGATTGCTTTTGCTATTTTGGGGTCTTTTGCGATTCTATACAAATCTTATGATTTTTTGTTCTGTTTCTTTAAAAAATGCCACTGGGATTTTGATGGGGATTGCATTAAATCTGTATATTGCTTTGGGTAATACAGCCATTTAACTATGTTGATTCTTCCAATCCATGAACATGGAATGTTTTCCATTTCTTTGTGGCTTCATCAGTTTCTTTTAAAAATTTCTTATAGTTTTCAGTGTATAGGTCCTTCACATCCTTTGTTTATTTTAAGCCTTTTATGCCTAATCCTGACAACAACGCTGTGAGGTAGAAACTATTATAATCTAGTTTTTAGTAACGAGTAAACTGAGGCCAAACTTGCCCAAAGTCACCGCCAGTAAGGGGAAAACCCAGGATTCACATTTAAGTAGTCATTTAGGTACCTGAGTTTGCTCTTACCTATGATACCATGCTGCTGTTTTTATTTTTAGGAAATTAGCCTTTTATTTGGTGTATTGCAGATGAGTTTTCTTTTTTTTTTTTTTTTTTTTTTAAACATTTTTTTGGGGAATTGGGGAAGGGGAACAGTGTTGCGGAATTGGGGAAGAGGAACAGCCAAGTTGTCCTTCAGTCTTAGTTGTGGAGGGCATAGCAAGCTCAGCTCCAAGTCCATTTGCCATTTGGCCACCCGTTGGCAGTTCATCGGCAGCTCAGCTTGGGCGCAGCTCACTGGCCCATGTGGGAATCCAACTGGTGACCCTGTTGCTCAGAGCTCGCACTCTCAAGCCAACTGATCCACTTGGCCAGCCCCAGGTCAGTTTTCCTTGTTTGTAATTTTTTGTCTTGGTTTTGTGGTGTTTTTTTTTTTTTTTTCTTGGCCTTCTGAAAGTTAATATTTATGTAGTAAAAATCTAGTAATATTTTCCTGAGTTTGTTTTTTTAGAAGGGCCTTCTTGATTCTAAAATTAAATAAATTTACTCATTTTTCCCCTTAGTTTCTTTTTTTTTGTAGTAGAAGCTTAAGATAATCAGATATATATTTTATATCACTGACTGCATTGTGGAGGTTTTATTAGAAGAGGACAAGACTAAAACCTGGAACCTAGTATTAATTTAAGTAAGAAATAATTGCAAACAGGCTGTGGGGATGGACAGGAAAAGATGGATTTCAAGAGATATTTAGACGGTAAAATATTCAGCCTTTGTGAATAATTAGCTGTGAGTCAAAGGAAGGACTCAAGGCTAACTCCCATGTTTCTGGTTGTGACAGTTGGAGGAGAAGGGAGTATGTTTTGTTGTGGTGCCATTTATTGGTTGAATGGATAAACTGGTGGAGATAAGGTAAAACTGGAAGGAATAGGTTTGGAAGATAAAATGACATTTAGTATTGGATATGTTGAATTCAGGATGCCTGTTGAACATTTCATTCTCAATACTTATGGTCATTATGCAGTTCGATAAATAAACTTTAGCTTACTAAAGAAAACGGCTTCCCAAGTGTAAGGAAATGAGGTGGATAGCAGGTAGAAACTGTATGTGAGTATGAGCTACTTTCCTGTTTTGTTTTCTTCAGAATTACTTCATTGGATGCAATATAATAGCTTGGAAGAAGCTTTAAGGACTAGAAAGACTATGTGTGGTATGTATGAGATGAATGTGTTTGTGGCTATATTGATCATCACTCAGAAAAATTCAGAGGTTTTAAAACAAGGAAAGACTTCAGAGGTCACCTAATTTTAGCTTTATCAATTTATAATTTCTGACTGGGTGGTGAACACAATGTGATATATAGATGACGTATATAGAAATGTACACTTGAGACCTGTATAATTTTGCTAACCATTGTCAGCCCAGTTTAATAAAATACAAAAATTTATAATTTCTGTGTATTTAATTTGCATAACTCAATTTGGGGGCTTGTTTGTTCCTTGAGGGACTTTCTAAGGTAAAGTTGTGGCAAAAGGCTTGCCAAAATAATTTTCTTGGCAGGAGGGGATGTTTGTGATTAAATAGACCTGGGTCTGAATTCGGTCTGTGCCACTTTCTGGCTCTGTAATCTTGGATAATTTATCTTTATTAACCTCAGTTTTTCATCTGGAAATAGTAATTTTCTTTTAGTGAAGTTGAGACTCCCTTTTAGTTGTCGTGGAGACTAGCGATAATGTGTAGGAATTCCCTGGCATTTATAATAGGTCTTCTAAATAAACTGAACCTCTGATGATTGTATTCTCAGCCTATTTCTATCTGGTGTTACAGTTTTGTTCTGGAATCTATTACTATAAAGATCAATTGAATATCTGCATTGTAAGCCATCGTTATTTGCAGATGTTTAATCATTTGAAAGATTCCAATACATGCTTAACAATTAGTATTTGTGTTCAAGGCCAAAAAATGAGCCCTAGACGTTTTTGTTTTTATATTTTTAACAATAGTTAAATGATTTAATGTTCATAAAAACTATGAGATAGGCAGCATGATTATCTGTATTTTACAGATGAGGAAATTGAAGTACAGAAGGGTTATATAGCTTACCTAAAATTATATAGTTGATAAGTAAAAAGAAAGGAATTTGAATCTAGGAGGTCTGACTCCAGAGCCATTGTGCTATATAGTAGGAACAAGTGAGTATAACTGCAGTGATAGTTTCACTTACTCTAGAGCAGTGATTCTTTCTTGATATCCTCTCCACTCCCACTTTCTATCCACCTTAGAGATGCTGATACTCTTCCCTAGGTATGTGTCTACTAGATCATACTTACCCCTCTACCTTTGAGAAATGAATGTTTCTCAAAGCAAAACAAAACAAAAAAACCCCCACCAAAATGTGCTGCCTGTGCCAACATTGTAGGTGCATGAAAAATTAAGATTTATTGCTCTCTACTTAATTTATCAAAACTCACCTTGATTTAGCCTTAATGTAATTTCAGCAAGTCTTTTACATACATTGCCTCATTTAATCCTAACCTTGTGATGACTTGCATTGGTACTCCCATTGTACACGTGAAAAATGTAAAGAAACTGATGTAAAGAAACTGAATAACTTGCTCAAGGTGCGCAGCTAGGGAGTGACAGAGCTAAGTATAAAGTTGAGGTGCTGTGGCTGAAAATTTAATACTTTTTTAAATGCTGTGCTACAATGACTTGGTTTCTATTCCTAATTAGGAAATTTCTATAAAAGCCAGGACAGCTTTTCCAGTGCGTTTCCCATATTGTGGATTTTAATTTTTGTATTTGTTCACGGTAACACCAAATGAGAGGGACATAAAATTAAAAAACAAAGTAAATCAAAGTACTGATCTTTAGGATCAGTGCCCTCTTTATGACAACCCAAGGCTATGGTAATTAAGTTTATTTAGAAAAATTAAAAACATTTTATATATGGCAGCCAACATAGATCTTAGCTCCTCTTCCATAGCTCCTGCCCATCCTTTGATGTAAGTTTCTTAAGCTGCTGCTAATTGGAAACCACAGTAGCTCCTCTTTCTGCTCAGAGGACAAGTATCTGTGATACTGCTCTCTCTAGTAGCTTCTTCTGACAGATAGGAACAGGGGCCAATTTGAAGCTCCGTTTATTTACCCAAGCATCTGTTTAGTTGCTGATACCTGCTGGAGCTCTTGAGGATTGCTGACAACATGAGCAGTACTGACACTGGGAACATTTATCTGACAAGTGTAAGGCACAGAAAATCCAGTTGGCTTATATGATAAAATACTTTAAACCTTGGGCTGTATAGATCAACAGTGATCATAAATTTATTGACAGCATCGTACTTATTTTGTTATTCCTGCTTTCCTTTTTCTAACTTTTACTTCTGTTTCCCCACTTTTGTTTTGTTGCTCCTTTTGTTTTCTGTTTTCCACTTTTGTCTCTCTGTTTTGTAGCTTAGGCCTTGTAAAGGTACTATTTAATTGATCAGGGATGTTAAAAGAAGTTTTTAGCCTCCACTGTGGAGAAGAATTTTGGGGGCAGGACTGCAGTGATCACCAAATGTAGCAACCACAGCAGTCCTTGATTTGTTGCAACCCAAAGAAATGCTTCATAGATTTCCTGGTGTTCTGTGACCTAAACACTGTTTTTATGCTTTGTTTTAGGAACTGCTACCATGAATGAAGAAAATATAGATGGAACAAATGGATGCAGTAAAGTCCGGACTGGTACTCAGAATGAAGCAGCACTACTTGCTTTGATGGAAAAGACTGGTTACAACATGGTTCAAGAAAATGGGCAAAGGAAATTTGGTGGTCCCCCTCCAGGTGTGGATTTATGTAAAAAAAAAAATTGAATCTTTAATGTAGTTATTTACAGTTATGTGTATGTCTCCACAAGTATCCCAAATAGGTAGTATCTCTTTTCTTTGTAACTGATGTAAGACCTTAGCAATCATTTTTACAGTTGTTAGGGAAAAGAGGTAGATTTTATAATGTTATGCATGTCTTAGCCTTATATTTTTCAACTCTGCTCTTGGTTTAAGAAGCATTTGAGAAGGAGGTTGGGTTGGTTTAGAAATAAGTCAAGATTGGGTCAGTGGAGAAAAAGGGTACTCTAGCTATTAAAGAGGAGGAATTTGAAAGCAGTGAGTAGAAGAGTGGGGTCTATGCCAGATGCAAATGAGATGTAAACAAGTAAGTAGGTACAATGTTTTGTTTTTCTACTAATAGCTGGTGCAGTTTCTTTGCTCAAAACCCTCCATTTAACTTTCTGTCAGACTTAAAATGAAATCGGGGCCTCTAGCTACATTAATGGCCACATTTCCTACCACTTTAGCCCTCCCTAAAGTACATGTTAGCACTACAGATCTGTGGGCTCTGAGTTGTTCTAACATATAAAATACTTGCAGAGAAGATGTACCTGCCAACCAAAAATACCAACCCTTCTATGGCTTTAGTTTTCTTCATAGCACTTATCACTCATCCCTTATTGACTATAAGTTTCATGAGGGAAGGGGCTTCTATTTTGTTCATTATTGTATCCCCCAACACCTAGAATAGTGCATGACACAAAGAAGGCTCACAGTACATTTGTGGAATGAATGACTGACTGAATAGTGAATATAAAGATCTTATCAGAATTTATATTTATTTTTGTCTTTTAGGTTGGGAAGGTCCACCTCCACCTAGAGGCTGTGAAGTTTTTGTAGGAAAAATACCTCGTGATATGTATGAAGATGAGTTAGTTCCTGTTTTTGAAAGAGCAGGGAAGATATATGAATTTCGACTTATGATGGAATTTAGTGGTGAAAATCGAGGTTATGCTTTTGTGATGTACACTACAAAAGAAGAAGCCCAGTTAGCTATCAGAATTCTTAATAATTATGAGATTCGACCAGGGAAGTTTATTGGTGTGTGTGTAAGCTTAGATAATTGCAGATTATTTATTGGAGCTATTCCCAAGGAAAAGAAGAAAGAAGAAATTTTAGATGAAATGAAGAAAGTTACAGAAGGAGTTGTGGATGTCATCGTTTATCCAAGTGCAACTGATAAGACTAAAAATCGTGGTTTCGCATTTGTAGAATATGAATCTCATAGAGCTGCTGCTATGGCTCGGAGAAAACTAATTCCAGGTAAGCCTATCCCTTTAAAGGTTATTTTTTTATATTCACCATATTATAAATATGGAAAAATGACAGTACCACAGAGATCAAATATTAGGAAAACATTCCTTAAAGAGGAATAAAAATTATTTAAGTAAGGAAGTAAAATAATTCTAAAAGACAAGAAGTTTCTATAAAATAAAATGTCATAATGTATACTAATTTACTGATTTGCTGAATGTATATACTTACATTGAGCTGTTGTTTCATAAAAACCCAAAAGACAATGTCTAATTCTTCTAGTAAAGATCTGTCTATGAAGTATATTTTTTGTCTTGACTTTTAAAATTCCACCATAAGTTTTAGGTTTGCCTTAATAAATTCTCATGTGAATAGGAAATTATAACGCTTAACCAAATATAATGATACGTATTTGAGTTTTTCTTCTTTGGAGAAACAATTTTACTTAACAATATTTGACTTTTGTTTTAACTGTCTTCAGATTAATTTATTCTTTTTTACAGGAACGTTCCAACTATGGGGCCATACCATTCAGGTAGATTGGGCTGACCCAGAGAAAGAGGTTGATGAAGAAACCATGCAGAGAGTTAAAGTTCTCTATGTACGAAATTTAATGATCTCAACTACAGAGGAAACAATTAAAGCAGAATTCAATAAATTCAAACCTGGTGCAGTTGAACGGGTAAAGAAACTGAGAGATTATGCTTTTGTTCACTTTTTCAACCGAGAAGATGCAGTGGCTGCTATGTCTATTATGAATGGAAAATGCATTGATGGGGCAAGTATTGAGGTAACACTGGCAAAACCAGTAAATAAAGAAAACACCTGGAAACAGCATCTTAATGGTCAGATTAGTCCTAATTCTGAAAGCTTGATTGTGTTCACTAACAAAGAAGAGAGCCATCCAAAAACTCTAGGCAAGCCACCAGCTCTTCAAGCTCGTCTCAATGGTCAGCATAGCCCAAGCCCCCCTGAAATCGAAAGATGCACTTACCCATTTTTTCCTGGCACAAAGCTTACTCCAATTAGTATGTATTCTTTAAAATCAAATCATTTCAATTCTGCAGTAATGCATTTGGATTATTACTGCAACAAGAATAATTGGACACCACCAGAATATTATTTATATTCAACAACAAGTCAAGATGGGAAAGTACTCTTGGTATATAAAATCGTTATTCCTGCTATTGCAAATGGATCCCAGAGTTACTTCATGCCAGACAAACTCTGTACGACGTTAGAAGATGCAAAGGAACTTGCAGCCCAGTTTACGTTACTTCATTTGGGTAAGTTTAAAAATACTTTAAATAATGTAGAATATGAAATATTATAAGTTATTTATGAATTAATTTATTCTAACTCAACATTAGTGGTGAGTATTTAACATAAATTTTAGCTCAGTTTTGTGAATTCATGGTAAATTTTGTTGAGACTTTTCTCATATAGAATCTTATTGTATTTAGCTTTTTAAACATTGCTTATGGGAAAATTTGGTTTTGATATACCTTAGAGTTCATGGTCTTGTTTCATTAATTTATTGTTTTGTAGTGACTCATCCTCATTTGAAATAATAATTTCTGTATAAGTTACAAGATTTGTTACTTAAACCAGTTTTTAAGAGTGTCCCTGCATCTTTGGTGAAGTCTACACAGTAATCTTTTTGGAGGGCAGGGGTAGGAAATTGGTAATGTCAGAGACATTTCAGATGTGTAGACACAGCCTTATGCTCACCAATCTGGAAATTTGTTGTTATTACTCATGAAAAACAAAAAGCATCATTAAAAGATGTTTATGTCCATTCTCTTCGTTAATTTTGTGCTTAATAAAAAGCAAGTTTCTTTAAAACATTTGAGGGATAATTAAGAAAGGCTTTGGGCCATATGCTAATTAAATATTTGGCATTGTCAAGGAAGAAATGTAAAATCATTCTGATATTTTACTACTTCCTATTTTTTACTGTTTTGTTAGCTATCCTCTCCCTACCAGTTTGTCTTATTTTTTAATGCAGTTATCGATTTCAGTTGGTGATGACTTTGTGCTCCAAATGATATTTATTAGGAGAATAGTGGTTTCTTGAAAATCAACAATAAAAAAGAAAGGTCTCCAACTAAGGATTATAATTGTTTCTTGATTATAATTGTCAAACTCTTAACCTAAAATTGATTTGTTATATGGTTGCAGAACCATACTACTGAAGCTTATCTATGGAAAATTGATACTCTCCAATTTGTTAAGAGAAGGCTGTCTAAAGGAAAAGCATTGTTAAAGGGAAAATGTCGTGTGTGTGTGTGTGTGTGTGTGTGTGTGTGTGTGTGTGTGTTTGCTTATCCATCATAGCCACGCCCATTATGTTATGAATATTTTCAGAAGATTCTGATTTGGAGATTTCGTCGTAATTTTAGGGTTGAAGGTAGGGTTTCTTTCAAAGAAACTTTTCAGTAGTGTCCTCAATTACTAGTTTGGAAATATTTGGTAATTTTACAATCATCTAATAAGTTAATAAATTCTTAGGTATGATTTCCATTAATGTATAAAATAGGAGCCTTCCATTTTTCTTTTAATAAAGACAATCTAAGTTAAATATAAAATTAGATGGGTAGCAAATAATTCAAATTAACGATCTTAAAGAAAAATGGATCGAATTATTTTTTGGAGTGGAATATGGATAATTAGTTGCTGAGCAAGATTTTCCCAGGGTACTTGTGTCTGATCTAATAAGATGGTAATACTGAAGTGTATTTTATTTCTATCCCCACTCATTATTTACCTTACAGATTTAACTTAAATTTCCAAGATTCTTAAAACATGGTTTATTTTTGTCAGATTTTCTATTAAGACATGGTTTGCCTGCTTATCTCATAAAGAAGATCAGATGTTATATGGAATCAGAGGTTTTTCATCAGCTTTTAATTAATATTAAGATATGTTTTTACTTGAGTTCTACAGCCATAGTTAATTCATTATAACTTTTAGTTCCCTCAGAAAACCCTGTTCAGGTATAGCATTCCCAACTTGTTTATGTTAATTAGGGATAAAATTAGCTTCAGTGTATGAAATACTTAGAAGGCACAGGCAGTTTGCTTTATAGTTCATCTATTTCAGATTTTACCAACCTTATATTAAAGCTTCTCATAATAAAAGATTGAAAATTTGTGTTTTATGTAGTTTTTCAGTTTCTAGTCACCATTAGAAAAAAGAGCTAATCCAAATATAAGCCAAAAATTTCAGTTAAACACTAGAGTTTGTTTGGATGCAGCATAAGTCCTAAGGCCTTGTCTACAGACAGTAACAGAAAAATCCTTATTGTGATTGACTAGAAACATGAGTGAAGGTTGAGTTAGAGGCAACTGAGGAGAAGGACAGAGAAAATTCAGGGAAGTAGAAGAGTCAGAGATCAGGGGTCTAGGATCTCTGATTAGAAAACAAATGTCAGGCTTTCAGAGGTCATCGAAGTGTAGTGACAGGTGCTCAGGTGCTATAGACAGGAGGCTGCATATTGCTACATGGCAGATCAAGGATAGAGTTAATATAATTGTGGCCGTGTCTGGCTTGCTTTTTTCTTCTGTTAATATGGGAGCCTCTGGGCTTTAAAGAGTTGATATGTTTTGGGGTGCATTTCCTTTAGATAAAGATTCCATAGTTTCATTGAATGGTTCCAGGTTAAGAACATGGTGGTAGTGGTGTGTTCCTAGTGGGGAAGAGGTGTTGGGTTATTGAGATCTTGCTAAATATTGACATGTTTCAAGCATTGGATTTTTCCGAAATCTTGAGAGGTTATTGGTTGGTTCATGGAGTCCCTTAAATGGACTTTTTTAAGTATTAAATAATTTCTTGGCTCTATTTTCTTAAAGAATTTGAATCTAATTTTCTAGATAGTGAATTTAACTACTATTTTAAGATGTTTTCTTTGGGCATACTAATTAAAAAAAATTGCTTTGATACTCTTAACCCTTTCAGTTTGATGCTATTTTGAACATTATTATCCAGTCTTACCTTGATGATCTTTGGCTATTATATGTGATATAAAGTCATTTACCTTTTTATTTCAGAGCTCTTTAAGAATGTACTTTTAATGTCAGTAGTTTTGGCATTACCATGCCTATTTTTCAAGTTTGAAAAATAAAAGAGAAAAAAATTAGACTTTATTTGTTAAATGACTATCATTGGCCTTATGAGGAAAATTGAAGTTTTTTTTTAAGGGATAACAGATACCTAAATGAGTGCTAGAAATCAGAGTTTACTTCTGGTGACCATTTAGTGCTCTTACCAGAATCCCACAAGTTCTTGGTTGTATAGTCCCTTAAAATCAATTTTTAAAATGTTGGGTTTGTTTGTTGTTGTTTGTTTGTTTGTTTTTGGTTCCTTTTTAAAGTGAGCTCTATTTTAAGTAAAATGCCCCTAATAGAAGAAAAACTGAAAGCTGGGGTTAATGCCAACATTGAAACCTTGTATTTTTATTTTATTTATTTATTTATTTATTTCAAGGGGACTATCTTCATCTTCATAATGTCAGAGAATAACCTCCCTAGAAATGCCTCACCCAACCAGTAGGATAAGAAATTGTGTAGTACCTGGTTATTTTTAGGAACTTGTAATAAGGGTGGTATTCAGTGGGTTTAATCGGTAGAATACAGACTAGGGGGCTAGGAGATAGATAGGTTCTATACCAAATATTTGATGTGCGGAGATATCTTGGGTCATTCGCATCACATCTTTTTAAATAAGCCTTTTCTATTTCATAATTTTGCTTTTTTAATAATGGATCAGACTATCAATGTGAATAATCCTGCCTTTCCTAAAACTTTGCCTCTGTTTTGAATCTGGGCCTTCCAACATTGCCCCTGCTTTCCCATGGAGGATTCTTTGCAACCTAGGAATGGAATAAGGACAATCAAGGAGATACAGGAAAGTCCTGGAGGGTTATAATTTTGAAGAAGAAAGTCCTGGAGAATACTTACTGGAAGGAGGGAGGTAGCCTCAGTGTGTGTTGATAATTCACCATGTTAAATAATTGATTAATTGTTGGCAAGTCATTTCTCATTTCTATGTTTGTGTGATACTGATGAAGTGGGATATTTTTTTACTTGTATAACCACCTAAAGCTTTAAAACTGGGCGAAGAAAATCTGTCACAAACCAGCTTGTGCTAGTGATGTAATTTAATCTGAGTTTTCTCTTGTTTTGACCATGACTGGTGAAGTTTAATTAAAGAACAAATCTTTTTTGAATGCGTCTCATGTGCTAATGTACTTTGCTAAGCAGCTGGGAGCTAAAGATAAATAAAACATTGTTTTTGCTCTTGAGGAGTCACAGTCTACTGAAGAAGGCACGGAGACAGAAACTCTATGCATAGGTGATTTGGGGAGTACAAAGGAAAAAGGTACACGTACCTGATCTGAGTTGTAAATCATGAGGGGAGTGTATGGCCAGACAGGGGCACACCATAAGCAAACACTGATTAGAAAAACAGCATCGGGATGGGTTAACAGCAAACAGTTCTGTATAGTGTTTGCTTTGGTGATTTCAGTCAGATTTTTAAGAATTAGAAATTGAAAGGAAGTAGGCTTTTAAATTCATTAGCCCTGTTTTTTAAAACTTTGCAAGTATTTTTTAGTACGACTATGTTGACATTACTTGCTTTTCCTCTGAGCAAGTAATTTTTTTCTAGATGAATCTATGCTGATTTGTGTGGACCATTTTATGTGTGAATATTCATCTTTTTAGTATCTTCTGTACTTTGTTTTTTCAATATTCATTTTTGTGGCTACTTGCATATTGCTTCTTGTATTTGACTTGTAATTACATACATCATTAGAATTTTTAATTCTTCCTGGTCATTGAATGGTAAAATATTTAGTATATGTATTCTAAGCATGATAGCCACTCAGTTTGCTATGCCTTTAATATTTACATTAGGTTTTGATTTCTGTTATCACTTAAAACTTGGTTGAAAGTTATGAAATAGAAGACACAGTAGGATAAAGGTATACTATTATGAGAAGTTTTTTTTTTTTAAGATTTTTATTGGGGAATTGGGGTGATGGGAACAGTGCTGGGGAATTGGGGGAAGGGGAACAGATACGTTGCTGTCGTTTTGTTCTTCAGTCTAGGACGTTGCTTCACTGGCCCAATTGGCACCATCATTGCGCTCTTCCCGGGCGAGGCAGATCAGTCGCAGGCTTCTGAATGGCCACTCACTGCGGCTGCTGGCCGCTCACGCTGGCTGCTGGCTACACACAGTAGCCCATGGCAACCCACTGCCACAGGGGCTGCAGCCTACGCCATCT